GCAAACAATGAACATGGCACACACACACACACTCACACACAGACATGCACACATATACACAACACACACACACACACACACACACACACACACAAAGCCCATAAAAAGCGCAGCCTGTGGCCATGGCGACACATGCTCTGTTGTCGTTAGATAAGGGAAACAGGGCCTCTTCCTGGGTGTGAGAGTTTGATCCTACACACACACAGACACACACATACGTACACACACTACATGTGCACACTCTGCAGCAGCACTGGGGTCACATCCACCAATGCCCAGCATCTTACTGTATGTATCCTCACCTTTATTTGCTGCATGGTTCATTTTCATATGCAAAACCCTGGCTATGTTTATCTGGACGCGCTGTGCTCCGGTCAGCGGCGTGATCTGATATCGACGAGATACACAGAGCAGCTCCTCGTATCTCTCGGAGGGATTTTGATGGAATTCTGTTTGGTATTTCCTGGCCCCATGCCACCCAAGAAAGTATATAGTTAGAGGGACTGGAAACATGAATTGGTTCTGCGTAGCATTTCCTCAAAAGACTGTTTCAAAAGTGTTAAAAAGACAATCTGCATTACCTCTCCAGCTGATTCTGTTAAAGAAATATCTTTGTTTTATTGTCAGTGATGGTGCCATCCATCAGCTCACATCTAATGAGCATCAGCTCTGTTTGTTATGATTAGGTCTAAGGCATTCCACAGTGAAACAACGCAGACACACACACAGCACCAGAAACGTCTTGAAAAAAAAAAAAAAGAAAAATTCTCACAAAAGACATAATACAGGTTCCAACCGCTTCCGGCTTCACCTATACCTTGTGATGTGTAAAAATAAAAAGGCAGGCTGAAGCTCTCATTCATCCACTTTCTGTTGCACTGGAGCAACCACAAAACAGAAGTAACAGTCAACAGCAGAGATGGGAGGAGAGATTGAAGAGAAAGGCTGTGAGTGTGTGCGTGTGTGTGTGTGTGTGTGTGTGTGTGTGTGTGTGTGGAAGGAGGCCAGGTGGGGTGGTGCTAAATAAGGTTTTGTTTCCACTATGAACTCTGGCTCCCTGTGAGTTAGTGAGTTCACAGCGCGATAAGAATCTTAACGGTGATGGTGACGCACAATAACTCACACACCGTGCTCAGAGCAGTCACAGGTCTACGGCTTCGAGATTGTTTAAATCAGTTTTTCTGTTTTTATTTTCCCGTCTCATTTAGTTTTCGACTTATCTGTCGTCAAAAATAATTTCATAAGGCAGTCACTTCAAATAATGATATGATTGCTGTTCCAAATGCAGGCGCTCGAGGCAAAACAAAAAAACAACACAGTAATAATAAAGCCTTTATCTTAGGAAGCTGTGTGAAATATAAGCTTACAATGAGTAACTTAATATTTCTGGTTGTAAATGGCCCTAACAAAAACTGTTTAAAAGCTCTAATACACAGCACTCGTGTAACTTGCCGTCAGTAAACAGCACACAGCTGGCTCATGTTTACCAATCTGCCAAGTCTGTGATTGTTTCAGACTAAAAGATATCGTATCAGATTGAAAATATCTAGCCTGTGTCACTGCGTTTTAGGAGACAAATGTATTTTACTTTTAATCTTTAGACATTGCTTTCTGTTGATGGAGAGGTGTTAATGCAAGATATTTGGATTTCAGTGGGGCAAATACACTCACTCTGTCTTCTTCTTTGATTTGAGGCTACTATAATCAATACTTTTATATTAACAATGGATCACATGTCTCCTTGTACATAAAAGGGAGCACTTGTGCTGAGCCCACAGAGAGTGATCACCCTACTGTCGTGTTGCCTTCAGTTCTCAGAGGAGAGTTTTAGCAATTTTCAGCTTATTGTTTAGATTTTTGGGATTTACTAGTTAAGAACATTCTCATCATTGTTGTTTTCTTCCACAGCAGGCAGCAGTTTTTCAGCCAAAAAGCTCTAAAAGCCAACAGTACACTACCTACCCAGCACTAACTGGCAGACAAGTTAGCAACTTAAGCTTGTTTTCACCAAGCAGTCCAGTTTGTTACACATTAGAACGGTTATTTTTGCAGCTCGAAAAGTAGTTCATCCATCCATCTATCCAACCATCCATCCATCCATCCACCCATCCATCCATCCATCCATCCATCCATCCATCCATCCATCCATCCATTTTGATCCACTTATCCAGGGCCGGGTCGCAGGGGCAGCAGGCCAAGCAAAGCACCCCAGATGCCCATCCTACCCAGCAAACGCTTTCCAGCTTCTCCTGGGGGACCCCAAGGCGTTCCCGGGCCAGATGAGAAATGTTATCCCTCCAGCGTGTTCTGAGTCTACACCGGAGCCTCCTACCAGTGGGACGTGGCCAGAACACCTCCAACGGGCGTTCTGGGCAAGTGGTGGATGGTTCCAACAGAACTTTTCCTCTCTGTCTCATTTTTTCTTCACCCCTCTGTTGGGGTACCTAGCGCACTGATCTGATACTGAAAGCCAGAGCTTGAGCTAGAACACTATAGTCCACTGATTGACCAATAGAGAATCATCACTCTTGCTCTACAAGGACTCAGACGGGGACTCTAAACACTCCAACCTGTACCTTTTTGTTCTGAAAATATCTGCATGCTACACAATCAGTGAAGTGAAGGCGTTTCTCTGCATCGCCTGTAACAAGGAAAAAGAGCGAGAGCTGGACCAAGCAGTGACGTTATCTGGTAACAACCCTGCCTACATTTACTAGTACCAGTGGAAATACAAACAGATCTGGGTTATGGTACATGTCCATACAAGCTACATACCGGCTCTAAATGCAGCATTACTGGCAAACATAGTGGCGTATTTAGCTGCTAAAGAGCCAGAGATTTCACTCAGAAGTTGGAGGAGACCAACACAGAGCTATAAAGGAAAGTGTCCTCAGTGGACTTAACATTCATCAGGTGTCCAGAGACATGACTCCCAATGAATTCTAATGTCGAATTAGGATGTGTAAATATGCAACTGTTTACCAAATTAAATGAAAAGTTGGTATGGTCTGTTATTGCAGGTTTAGGTTCAACAGTCAAAATCTATCTAGATGCAGCTTTAGGTCAAAGCTTCTCTCTCCTTTGGACTTGGATAAAACATGACTGCACTGTGTTTGGTGGAGGTCCAGGTATGTCAACATATAGCTTGTTTGTCTATCATCAATATAATCAGTCTGTCGGTGCAGTAACTTGAGCAAAGAGCTAACAGGTCATAGATAAATAGATTTAATTGTCTACAATAGGCATTTTTTTAATGCATGGTGCATTATACATGCCTCCACAGATACATTTACATATAACGGAATACATGGTGTGTTACTGTGATTAGCGAGCTACGGAATTTAGCACAGATATGGCTAAAATGTGCCTTTTTCCATCAAAGTGTCTTGTATCTGCTACCAGATGGAAGTAGAGTGAAAGGTGTGCCGGTGTTCGTGCAAAGGTATAACAGAAAAAATGTGTCAGACCAAAGTGCCACCCACACATCCTCCCTCATCCTGCCACTGTGGCCTTCAATGGCCTGCCTGCTAACCATTACTGGGAAACACCTTCTTAGCATCTAGCACAGTAGCATCACATGCAATTAGCAACTAACCCCAGCAGGTGCAGTCGTGCTACACTTAACATGGGTGCTACTATGAGGAAAGTGGTTATCCCACAAGTCTACCTGTCTGAGGTGAGAACATGTGTGTGAGTGTTTTTGCACGTTTGTGTGTGTCCGTACAGTAAGTGAGTTTCTCTACGTAAGGCTATGTTTGTGAGGTTTCTCTGGCAGCAGGAGAGGATGCAGAGCACAAGCCACTTTTAACTGACTGGGGTAAACAGCGATGAGAGAAGATAAAGGGCAGAGTGAATGTCACATTACCCCAGCCCTTTGCCTCTGCTCACCGCAGCATCAGATAACTGCAGCAGGAAAAAAAAGTCTGGTTTCCTCTAGCATATAATTGGTTATCTTATTGCAATCTACTGCTCTCTTGCCTCTGCACAGAATAAAGCATGAAAGAGCAAAGAGTGAAGAAAAAAGGCTTAAGTTTGACTGTTCTGGCAGTGACTAAAATAAATCATTATGAGCACAGGAAACACATTTAGCTATTTCTATAGGTGTGCACCAACATGGCACGGACTTTAAAATGCAGCACAGTGTACAGTTATGGAAGGTGGGAAGGAAGTGTTGTCATTGTTGAATTACTGTTACTGATAATCAGGTTGTGGTCTGTTCACTTAGCACTAGTAATAGATATAAACACAAAAACATAGTTTTACTTAACAGGTACGTGTGCAATATTATTGCCAACAATATCCGACTGTCAAATAGGTCATTCGTGTAGTTTTAACAAAAGATAAAAAATTCACAGGAAGTCACATTGCAACACCTTTTTTTTTTTTTAAAGCAAGCTTCCTGAAGAAAGGTCTATGTGTTATGTTTTGGGCATGAGTTGCAACATGTCTGTAAATAATTCTGTATTACATTTATTTAGATTATTTTTAAAATCATTATGGTCATTAAGTTAAAAGAGCTGTAAAAGATGAACTCCAAAGATGATAAAAGTGCTGTTCTGACTCTTAGTTTCTATGGATGCACACATCGTGTGACCCAACTGTAACAGCCACAGGGGCGTATTTTGCACCTTTGTGTGTTTTCACACATATGTTGCTGCAATTAAGAAACATACCTCCTGACAGCATCTGTAAATTCCCGTAAGTGTGCCTGTTTTCAAATGCAAATATATACAATATTTGTGCTGTGTGGGGGAGAATACAAAATAATGACTTTTTTAAATGTGTTTACATATGTACGTGGGTGTCGTTGTAGCGATTTTCAGGAGTTTGAGTAAATATGTCTATAAAGAGCAATTTCATCACAACTCTAAATGTCCTCAGCTTGGAACCTCCAAAACAAAACTGGGCCCAGGTCAGTGGCTTGAGGTACACCTTCCCAAATCAACTGGCTGACAAACAAAGGGGTTTCAGTAACTGGGGGCTGGGCTACTGTATCTCACCACAGCAGTGGGCAGTCTTTTCCTAGCTGGATTGATGCCTGGAGGGGGGGCAGTGTGGAGCCTAACCCCTCGTTCACCCACACTGTACCGGGCCTGTGGTTAGAGAGAGAGACAGCAAGGGAGAAAAAGAGAAGAGACAGAGAAGACAAAAGTGGGGAAGGAAACGAGATGGCGGGGCTTTAGTTTGGGAGATACAAGCAGGGCATTTGTAAAGGAACATGTCAAGCCCCTTTACCCCCCACCCCCCAACTCCCTTGTGAACCTTTCCCTCCTTCTCCTTTTCTCCGGTTACTCTGCTCTTCCCCTCATGCCCAGCACACGCGTGCAGGGGGAGGAGTAATGACATGAGACTTACACAGTGACTCTATGCAGCGCCGTGCTGGGGGAAGAATGGAGGTTAATGAGCTGACATCCCCTCCACCCCGAACACGCCTCCTCCCCATGCCCACCTCCCTGCTCTCTTGCACACACTGACAAGCATACACACAAACCTCTGACAAAACAGTGGGGCTGAACGCTGGCACTGGGCCAAGGATCCAGAGACTTAAGGAGTATCATGGATCAACGAGTGGATTTACACCACGTATACATTAATAATCAGTAAATGAATACCACCTATGCTATAAATATGACCTGCCAAATCGGCTCACATATTTAAAAGCGCACAGTGAAATCGAGCAAGAACACAAAGGTGGTCGAATGAGGCTGAAACGCTCATTTGTAACCAGACAACAAAAATGTGACAATGACGATGACATCGTTAGTTGGGGGGGGGGGGGACAACACAAAAAATTATATTACTCAACCACCTAAACTGGAAATGATCCACAAACTGACAACTATATGTAGTACAGTAGCACAATTGTCAGGACTGAGACAATTAGGACTGGTGTGTGTTTGTGTGTGTGTTTGAGAGAGAGAGACAAAGATGGGGAAAGAGAAGGTGTGAGGTGGACTATTGCATGCAGTGTTTCTGTCGGCCTGAGTATTAATAACTTACTCATAACGCTGCTTTGTCACTTTTTTGACCCGCCTACCGGAACCTGTGATACCTACATCACCTTATCAGTGAAAAAAACAAAACCATAACAGCAGTCAGCCTTGCATATGTGAGAAGATGTTGATCAAATGATCACAATGACGATGATAACCTTGGTTGCTAAAAAGTGTAACACTTCACCCATCTGGCAGCCTACAGTTCATCTGGTAGACAAATCTTAATTATTACTTTTCAACCACACAATGAATGTTTAGCACGACCACAAACCCATGCCTCGGTGTTGGCGTGGACAGGGGGGAGGGGGCTTTTAAATCACAACATGGGCACTGGTGATGGATGATGGCATTGTCCATTGGCCCAACCCTAATTTGAATCAAAGGGTTCATCCAGTTTACAAAATAATTCTGTGTCATGAGTCTGACTAAAATTCCCTCATTAGGTTTCAACTAAAGTGGAACTTTACCCCGACTGGTGGCACTGAAGGGAATAACCAAACACATTAGAGTTCATCCTCTGGGGACCATGAATGTTCCTACTAAACATCAAGCCATTCAACATTTCACTGCAAACCAAATCAACTTTTGAAAAGACAAATGGACAGTCAGTTACATAGATGGACCAACTAACACTCACCCTAAAGTCACTCTGCTACGATGGCTACAGAAACAGTCCAACCGCAACTGACAGCATTTTATCAAACACTACACAACCGTTGACCTGTTAAGGACAAACAGCTCTTGCACACAGACCACAGACCACGGGTTAAACACATCATGCTATTATGGTGGATACAGTGCTGTGAATAACTGATCAGACCCTCAGATGCGCCCCCCATTTCTCGGTTGTCACGTGGTGTTGTGTTGGCATGTCAGATGTTAAATAAAACCTCAGTGGCCTTTAAGTTGCATCACCGGAAAACCAGCAAGTAAAGGTGACAACTTTTAACAGATAAGAGTTCATCTGAGCTGAAGCATGCACAGAAATAAATAAAAGACACACAGAGAGGTAAAAGAACAGTGTGGTTTAAATGAAAACCCTTCAGTAGATTAAAAAGTTAGCTGAATGCAAGTTAATGTAAAGAAATGACATTTGCATGCGCCTATCAAAGGTTAAATAAACAGATGCAGGTGCACATGAGGCAGATTTATTAGTTTACCAATGAGACATCCCAAGACTGCTGGTGTTTAATCTATGTTTAATATAAGCCCTTGCTATTCGTAGAGCTCCACAACGGCCTGCTGCGCACCTGGTTGACAGCTCCATCACACTTTCCACACCCTGTCTTGAGAGACTGGACGCTACAATCTCAACTACAAGCTTTCAAAACTGGAGTTAAGAGACATTTAATTTCTTTTTAATAAAATGTCACTGGAAGGTATCCTGCTGTAATAGCTGACGTGCCTTAATTACCTCAAATAAAACCAGTAAAAAATGTAAAAAGCATGAGGGTAAAATAACATCTTTCATGAAATAAAAGAACATTACCAAAAACAGAAATAGAATTGATAATGGCGCAGCGAAACACTTTTACAGAGCTTGAAAACAATGGAAGATGGATGGTTAGTCATTAGCGCCCATTGTGAATCTTTCCAGTGAGTAATTTGTGGGAAGGCTTGCTGCATTTTTAATATTCTTAAACTGAAGAGCCCTAAGAACACAAACTCCATAAAATAATAACAGGCATTTCACCTTAGCACTATCCGAACCTCTCAATTATTTACCGCTAATGAATTGCCTCGGGCAATATTCTTCCTAAGTACAATATCAACCATCCCAGAGAGGCTGAATCAGCTCGCTCAAATACTTAAATACATTTACTCAATTATGCTCACTGTCCCTAATATGAAAGAGACAAGGATGTGCGAGCCTTCTTCTCCTGACTGTTTCATATGCTCTGTTTCAGCCTTGGTATTTCACGAAAATCCTCACATGCACAGCAGCTCTTACGATGATTAATTGATGAAACGTTTCCATAGAAAAAGCAATAACAAGGTTCTTGTCTTTTCCTCTGTTTTTGCATCTGTGGAGTGGGAGGATACAATAAAAGGATGTTTTCTATTGTTGTGGTGTCTAGCCTCAGTAACATAACAGTACTGCAGGCCAGTTGCCAGGCATCCACCGGGCTTTGCACTTTGCAGCCAAACATGCCACCTTGAATAGCTCGCTGTTGCTGCCACATTGCTGATGAGCCTTCAGGGGCCTGAAGGAGCCTGCAGAGAGTGGAGCACCACACCACCAGCTCCCAACACAGGTAACCAACAGGTAGGAAAAGAATGGACACAAGCAGGAAGAGGATGTAACGGCACAGTATATCAGTGTAGTATAATTGTGTGAGTAATGAAGGTATCAAACATTAACAGTGTGAGTGCAGCTCCACAGTCGCCTATATGTCTCAAAACAAAGTCTCCGCTAAGTGCAGGAAACTGAATAACCTTCAGTTTATAAACTCATCACTTAAGTGAATGTAAATAGATTCTACCATCTGTTTCTGCTTCTTCTATAGGGGACGTCTTCATACCGGGGGATACTGTGTATCTATGTTTGTGTGCTTAAGCCACTGCTTGTTATGCGTTTATTTATCCCTCCCGACAGCTAATGCACAAACTCAGGCAAACTTTTATTCTCTACACTTCCTTATTTAACTTCCTCCTTTCCAAAAATCTAATCGAGATCCAGACACTGGAGGGGGGGGGTTTGCTAAATTTAATTAATGATAAGCAACTTTTATTTTGAACCAAAATATTCATCATTAGTTATTAAAACAACAAATATATGCTTTGTATTAATATGTAGCCTGTTTCACATTGACACCCCTGCTCTTGAAAATGGTATAAGCCATTTTATTTTGTAGCAACTGTTACGGAAAAAAAAAAAAAAAAAAAATCAAAGCTGCACGTACTCATGAACGGGCCAGTACCACTTTCTGTGTCCACTATGTGGCGCTGCAGAGTACACTAATTACACATCATGCTTCTGTCAACCCACTATGCAAATTTCAGGTAAATGAAAATAAAATAACTGTCAGACAAGTCTTACTTCCTGTTGCCAGTTGGTAGCATAGTCACCATGACACATAAAAAACCTGCAGGCAGGAAATTGACCTGACAAATTTGCTGTTCTAAACTAGGTGAGAGACTGCAAGCGCATGGGTTGATATCATAGACTGCATAATAATGAAAGTAGCTACCATAGCATCACCAATTGGTTTGTAGACTCTTGATTTTGAAGCCTTGAGTTTGACATTTAAGCCACGGCCATCTTGTTTTTTTAGAGCTATATTTGAAAGGGAGGCTGGTGCCATGGAGAAGTGAGGGGTGGATCAGATTGAGTGCCTGAGGACAATATCCACAGACAGCCTGTCACTCAAAGAGGCTCCATCCTTAATTACGCATAACTTTAAGCTTTAATAAAATGTGAGGAGGTGAGTTATGTTAAAATTCACTCCCTGTGCAGTTGTCATGAACAAGGTAATAAGCTACAGGGACCAAAATCATTTTTTTTGTACCAGGCTGTACACATGTTTACTGCTGCTGTTAAAGTTACAATGTGTAATTTATGAGGTTGTTTATTAGCAAATATCAACTATTGCTTTCATAAATATACATTTACTAAAGTGTAATGCAATTCACATACAAATGGAAGCTTTCTCATAGGCTTAGAATGATTTCTCTATATATACACAGGCAGGGTGCGGTCTGCTGGAGGCTGCCCTCTTGCGTCGACATATTTGAATACAGTGGCCGAAAGGGATATACGCGCTTCACCTTTCGCGTTTACCTAGAACTTGGAGAACTGGAGACAGAGAAGGTGAAGCTCAATCCGGGGCGCTTCTGCGTGAACCTGCTTTGTACTTTTATGATTCTGTCGCACTTTAAATGGAGGACCACACATATGTTTTGCCCCACATAAGAGGGAAACCACGCCACCAAATAAAAGCAAAAGATCAGATAAGCGAGGACGGGACAAAACGCGAGTGAATATCGGTGTTGCTTATTCCAGGTGGAAAGAACTCCTGTGGAAGAACACTCTGGAAACGCATGTATTATAATCGTACCAACCTATATTTGCTGCACTGTGCCGTGACTATCACATA